ACCTTGATGTCCTCGCCTTCAGTTCTGTGGTCCTCAAAAAGCTTGGAAACAGCAGCAACTGGTCTTTTGTTTCACTTGTGGTTCACCGCTGGTTTTGGCTCCCTGGTCTCCACTCAACCTGAAAAAGGATAAAGTACTCTAACCTCCCTTCACTGTAAATACCTGCACTCACCTGTATATAACGGCACTGGAAGTCATCCTTGGACTCGACGCTGCATCTATAAAACAACATCCGTAAGTCAAACTCTTCCTTCTACCTGGAAATTATATGATTCAAGCTTACCTGGATTTTCACGCCCCTCTCCTCTCCCTCGCAGATACAGCTGCCTCTTGGTACTCGGGTCCCGCAGCCTTAGGTTTTTTGTCTGAAACAATAAACTAATTTAACTTTGTATTTTTGCCTTGTGTGGTTGCTGAATACGTTTACGTTCGACATCCGGGTTCTGACCATAACATGCTTGGCCTTTAGGTGTGGTTATTCTAAAAAATTGTTTCTTTTCGTTCAGAACCTGAAGGAGAGCTGTTGGGACAAAGCAGTTCACTTCTTCGATTTGCCAGACTTTTTGTCTTGGAAGGCAACAGGCTCCTTAACAAGGTGAGCTCTGGTGGATGACTTTAACCTGAAGCGTTAAAGCTGCTAGCTGTTGGTCAGTAATATTTTAAAGGAGACCAATTATGGGTCCTAGAAATTTTTATAGTATGTCTGTGGGCTATCCAGACCATGTTCATTCAATTTAATGCACAAAATATTTCTCAGATAATAAAATTTCCCATTTTCTAGTTCTGCCTGCTCTGACTTACATTCAGAAGAGCTGTTTATGTTAATGAGCTCTGTTGGTAACGCCCTCCAAAAATCTGTTGACATYAACTCCGCCCTCCAAAGCCAGCGTTTATGTTAGCATGGCTAATAATAGCAGAAGCTCCGTTGTACAACCATATGAGACCCAGAGGCAGAGATGTGGTCGCAGCTTTTCTTTTTCTCTCCCTCCTCTGCTCTGCTCACTCTGCATGCTGTTACCAGAGCAGGGAGCAGCAGCGGTCAAAATACCTCAGAAACTCGAACAAATAGGCTTTTAAGGCTTTAATAAGCTAAACAATAGAGGTACATGAGAAAATGTGTTCATAACGATTGAAAATAAATAAATAATTAAATTGTGTCCATTCCAGTCTTGAACCCTGGTCTCCCCACTCTCTGGTCCGACACTCTACCCATTGCCCTATTGGAGACTTATTGTGAAATGGGCTGCACATTGTGCAACAACAACCGTGACGGCTTTTTATACTGAGGTGGAGTCTCAGCCGGGGGTTGCTAGTTGAGGGGCTGAACGCAGGTTCCGGTGGGTTGTCGTACGGCTTGTGACATCACAAAATGACAGAAGCATAAAACTTGTCCTTAATATACATTAAAAATACATTTACTTACAGTAAATATGCCCCTGGGTGCATTTTTTGGTCCTAGGATTGTTTTTTAAGAAGTACATACCCAAAGTTGAGTAAAAAAAACTTTAAAAAGTGAATTTTGCATAATAGGTCCCCTTTAAATGTGTTTCTTCTGGTTTATGTGTTGTAAACACATCCCACAGAGTCTTGCTTCAGTGGGTGAGGTTTGCTGATAAAACTGTTCCGGGGAAACACCGCTCCTGTATCAAATGTTTGTTTGTTAAAACAAGGACAAATCTAAGAAATCTGCTTTTGATTGCAAACAAAGTGTTTTAAATGTTTTTACCCATATCTGTTGGATAAAAGTCCAAACTCGTCTCTGGAGCGTGTCTCAGTCGATGTGTGATGCTGGTCCACAGGTCTTTATGTACTCTGGTGTGTAAATGGACATACTGCCCCCCAGAAGGATGGGATACCAGTTTCTGGACAAGCATTGGACTGGAGGACCTTCTGGAAAATAACTTCTCTAAAATAGGTGAGTGTCAAAAATACTGTATCATCCTGAGGTTTAGGCAGTTTTAACAGAAGCAGATGTTTTATCTGTGTCTCCTTTTGACCACGTCTAATTAGCATTAGGCAACGCAGTCAGTTTGACGAGGGCCTACAGATCGGACTTAGTTTCAAACTTTCTCATGCAAGGCATCAGAGAAGTTCCATTATAATGTGGATTGCTGCTTTTGTTTTTAATTGTCCTTTTTGTCTCCCAGGCAGCGTGACCTGTCCACCAGGGAGTCCTCTCAGAGAAGGTCTGACTGCGGAGGCTGCAGCAGATCTGGGTTTGACCCCAGGAACAGCCGTCGGTGCTTCTCTCATTGATGCTCACGCTGGAGGCCTAGGTATGACCCCGTTAACTTCATCCATTAATAATTAACTTCTCTGACATGTTGACTTCATTTAGCTGCTGTTTGTTTTACTGGCCTGGATCACAGGAATAGTTTTATCTTCTGAAACAAGAAGTAGATCCTGGGAGGTGAAACTGGAAAGTTAATGGCACAAATCCACTCAGTGAACAGTTCGGCTGAATGTTTTTGTTTGGCAGGTTTCTACAATGCTTATTTCCTGTTTAGTCTCAAGGACAGACCAGAGGTTAGTGAATTAGCCAAAGCTAGTTTAAGAAAAAATGGGAAAGTATGAAAAACGCAGCTAAAAACCCAAATGTTGTCTTATATTGACTCTGTCTTGTATTTTATGGCAGATAATAAGAGTTTCAGATATTTCCTCTTTTGTCTTTAACTTTATTTTTTATAACACGTGTCCATTCAAGCAGCTGTACGATGCTGTCCTCAGGGTCCTCGAAGCTCATATCCACTTTAGTGCTGGCAGAATTAATAGAGGTCAAACTGCTGGGAGTTGTAATTAAACATTATAACGGTCCACACATATACAAAAGATCATAAAGAAAACGTGTAAATGTGTTTCAGTAATTCGTTGAAATGCTCATTTTATGTCTCCTGAAACATGGAAGATGGTGCATGTTGTAGTTTTTCAGTGGTTTAGTGCCACAAGAAAAGATTTGGATAAACTGCAGTAAGATTAACACTTGGCTGTGATTTTAGGACCAGCAGGAAACCAGCTGAGCCCGGTGGTAGGGCCGCTTTGGCAGCCCACCATGATTTTGTGATTGGAATCGGATCGTTGTCTTAGGACCCCACCTTTTTTGTCTTTATTTGCTTCCACTTGGGTCCATTTTTAGACAGCATGGAAATTATTTTCAGGTTTTTACATTTGAATGAGAAGAAAACTGACGTTATGTTTTTTGGCACATCCACTGATATTCCTTTTGTTGAGTCCTTGACTCCATACATCAAACCAGTCATAACAAATCTGGGGTAAAGGTGGACAGTGATCTTAGTTTTGATAAGTAAATAAGCGCAGTGGTGAAATCCAGCTTTTTTTTATTTAAGGCAGCTGACCGAAGTCAAGCCCATTCTTTCTAGAAAGAACTTTGAGGCAGTAATCCACTCCTTCATCACCACTCGGTTGGACTACTCTAATAGACTTTAAATAGGGGTCAGTGCTTCCTCTGTCGCTCACCTCCAGAGGGTCCAAAACGCCGCCACACATCTTTTAACTGGCATAGAAAAGCATGGAAAAGAAAGGGTGTAAAGAAGAAAAAGGAGGCAATGGCCGAAACAGAAAAACTGCTTGATGAGAAACTAAAAGAACTGGAAAGCAAATAAGAGTCAATCACAGACCAAAGGAAGTGTTGTTTGTCACAAACAACTATGATATAATGTTTAATATCATATTGGAAAGGTGGTTTTAAGAAAACAAGCCGGTGTTTAAAAGTTTATATTTTTTTGTGTTTTAATCTCTTTTACACATTGTGTTTACACTGAATGTAAGTAAAGTTCTCAAAACTGAAAAGTTTTGAGAACTTTAC